TCTGAATTGTAACATATTTTGAATTATAGGATATAACTATTTAGAAAATATTTGTTTTTAAGTATAGGCAGATTAAAAACAGAGTGTCAAGCTATATATTATGAAACAGCATTTCTTTTTACTGATAAGAAAAGTAGGGAGCTGAACAGAGATGCATCAGCATGGATATAATTAATATTGTGGGGGAGGAGGAAGAGGAGGTGGCTGTTAGATGGAGACAATCAGTCCTCCCTCACAGGGAAGGCTTGTAGAATATGCAGATGAGGATGGTGCCCTTAGGTTGCAGTTAAAATTTCAACAATCGGATGGCTCGATTGTATTATAAATAAGTCACTAATGGGAAGAGGTAATCAAGACCAAAACAGTGAAGACTTGGTGATAGAAAACAAAACTTTTTCTGTAGACTTTAGAGATGCCCAGATTCATGTTTATTGAAGCAGGATTAGCAACACCATCAGTTTAGAGAAGGAATCTATTTATCCATCTTTAGAACCTGGGCTGCCATGATAAAATGACGGGGGCGGGGCCTGGGCGGGCTCTGAAGCAACGCGGGGGCGGGGCCTGGGCGGGCTCCGCGGCAACGCGGGGGCGGGGCCTGGGCAGACTCCCCGCCCTCTGGGGTCCCCGCGGGACTGGCGCGGACTGTTTCTGTCTTGTCTCCGCACAGCTCTCGCTCGCCCCCAGGCGGTGAGATGCGCGTCTGCACTGCGCACCTGTGCGACACTGGTTTCCTCTGTAAGACGTGGCTGCGGACACCTCCCTTGCTTTACTACCGCTCAGCAAATGCTACCCGCTGCTTTTGCCGGCCCCCCGACCCGCGCTGGACTCCTGACCATGCTGGACCCTAACTGTGCTCAGGAAGAACAACATTTTTAATCATCGGAATCGAAGACACAGCGTCAAGACCTAGGCCGAGTGTCCAAGACGCACTCCCTCTAACGGGCCGCCCTCCAGTCCGTTGACGTTACTGGGCGTCTTTCACGCTCCCGCCTGGACTGTGCAGCCCTGGCCTTTCGTGGTCTGCGAGCTTTTGCAGCTGTCAGCGAAGAGCTTGCATTTGACTCCTTCGTTCGCCTTTTCCAAAGCAGGGAGCAGTGCAGAGGGCGGCGAAGGAGTGGGGGTACAGCCCTAGCTCCCTAACGTGGGGAAGGCCACGCAGTGCTTCCGCGGGATTCTACCAGTTACCTTAACAAATACATGAAATAGGCATCTTACAGTGTCTTAATGTTTTAAAGTGGAGCCTTTTCAGTATAACTTAATTACTTAATTTCTCTAAAAATTTCCTTAAAATATGTGTGTGCCAGCATATTTCTGTGGCTTCCAATGATCAGATGTGTCTTTAAAGGGTTAAGTATCCGGTTTCACGAGGAACAGGACTAGCTTTCCGAGTTGCCATACAGAAACACAGCACTGATTCAGTGCAACTTTTTAAAAAAATATATTTTATTGACTTTTTACAGAGAGGAAGGAAGAGGGATAGAGAGAAACATCGATGAGAGAGAAACATCCATCAGCTGCCTCCTGCACACCCCCCACTGGGGATGTGCCCACAACCAAGGTACATGCCCTTGACCAGACTCAAACCTGGGACCTTTCAGTCCACAGGCTGACACTCTATCCACTGAGCCAAACTGGTTAGGGCTGATTCAGTGCAACTTCTTAACACAATAACGAATGCAATATCCCAGCTAGACTGACCAAGAAAAAAAAAAAGATACCTGAGCCGTAGCCAGTTGGCTCAGTGGATAGAACGTCAGTCTGTGTACTCAAGGGTCCCAGGTTCGATTCCAGTCAAGGGCATGTACCTTGGTTGCGGGCACATCCCCAGTGGGGGGTGTGCAGGAGGCAGCTGATCGATGTTTCTCTCTCATCGATGTTTCTAACTCTCTATCCCTCTCCCTTCCTCTCTGTAAAAAATCAATAAAATATTTTTTTTAAAAAGATACCTGAGTGCCGATATTAACAGGATAAAAGGGGACATTATGGACAATTTTACAACAACCAATTTGACACTGTAGACAGGATGGACAAATTCTTTGAAAAATGCAACTTATCAGAACTGAAACAAGATGAAATTTTAAAATCTGAACAGCCCTTTACTATTAAATTAAATTTTGTTCAACAGAGTTCCCACAAAGATAATTCCAAGCCCAGATGGTTTCAGTGGTCAAGTTTATCAACCACTTCAGGAAGAAATAACACCAATCTTGCACAATTTTTGTTCAGAAAATAGAAGAGGGAACACATTTCCTCTCATAACACTGATTACAACCCTGAAATACGTATTATCAAAAAAATGTACAGATCAATATCCACACAAACATCGACACGAATATTTAAAATAAAATAGCAAATTCGATTCCTATCAAGGGCCTCCATTGCAGGCTCGGCCCCTAGCCCTGGTCTGGGCACCTATGGGAAGCAACCAATCGATGTGTATTTCTCACATTGATGTCTCTCTCTCTCTCTCTACCCCCCTCCCTTCCTCCTTCCCTCCCTTCCTTTTAATCATCCTAAAAATCAATGGAAAAATATCCTCTGATGATGATTAACTATATATATATATATATATATATATATATATATATATATATATAAGCAAATTGAGTCCACATTGACAAGTCAGAAATCCTACAAGCGCCACTGAGGTATTATTCCAGTGCGGAAACTGAGGCTCGGCGAGGTCACCCACGTAGGAAGCTGCACCAGCAGAACTGAAACCCAGACATTCTGACTCAAACCACTGCTGTCCAGAGCTGAGGCTGGAGAGGCAGGGACCAGCTCATGCAGGGCTGGGTGTGGCATAGGATGACATTTGCATTTTACTAATATTTTAAAAATATATATTTTATTGATTTCAGAGAGGAAGGGAGAGAGAGAAACATCAATGATGAGAGAGAATCATGGATCGGCTGCCTCCTGCACGTCCCACCCTGGGGATGGAGCCTGCAACCCGGGCACAAGCCCTGACTGGGAATCCAACCGTGACCTCCTAGCTCACAGGGCCACGCTCACCCCCGAGCCCCGCCTGCCGGGCTGCATTTTATTTTAATGGTAATGCAGAGGCGTCCAAGGTTTCTCAGCGGGGTTTTCATAAAGCCATTTGCGTCTCCTGACATTAGTCTGGCGGCAGGTGGAGGGGGTAGGAGGGGCCAGGTGCATGGATTTGCAGTCTCACAGCTGCAGGCTCTTGGGGAGCAGCTGTTTTCTGTCTTTTCCGGCTTCTAAGGTTCCCTTCCTCCATCCTCAAAACCGCCCCTCCCCCCCCCACTCCTCGGTGTGACCCAGAATCATCCTCCCAGAAGGATCCTCACCTCAGTCACCGCCCAGAGACATGCCCACGGGCTCCGGGAAGTTGGGGGCCAGGACCCAGCTGCTCCCCCCGCCCCCCGCCTGCTTTCATGACTGGGGGAGGGGAGACAGGGACACCAAGGAGTGTGGTCACAGAACAAGCCCGGTCCACGCGGCGCATCCACCCGCGACCTGGGTGCATAGCACTTTCTCCATCTCTGTTCCTTTGTGAGCCCCTCACCCCTGAGGGCTCACCCCACCGCCAGGACCTCCCTCCAGGAGCCCGAGTCATAACCCTTCCTGAATCCATGGCTGCTCCCAGCTGCCCAGGCACTCTTAAAGCAGGACCGAGAAAGGAGAATAATGCTGACAAGAAAGACAGGAG